AACACAAGGAAATTAGAGTTTAAAAACCCATGTCAGAGGCTGAAAAATTAGCTCCCGCCGAAGTTCTCTCCAGGAAGAAAGTTCTCCAGGAAGAAATTCTCCAAACTGAAAATGAAACTGAAGTTTACTAACGTAGCTACAGCTTTCAAAACTCCAACTCTACTGTAAGTATAGTCTCTCTCTCTCTCTTGATCAGCTAGTGTAGGAAATATTAGATCTAAACAGTAAAGGTTTTATAAGTAATCATTTGATAACTCATATTTTAACTGTGTAATGGTTTTATAATAAGTAATTGATGTTAAATAAATATTATTTTGAGTGTATAGTCTTGGCCTGAGACTCATATTCTTTAATCTAACTGTACTTATCGAGTTAGCGACTTGTGGCTCCACTCGTCACGACAAATCATCCAATAAATAAATTTGGTGTAAAGGGTAGTTTTAATTGAAACTCCAACAATTAAGCTCACCTGAGCGCTACCTTTTACACTAGCATAATTTACGTAATTATGAATATACATTTATACGATTATGTCGATTGAATTGAAAATAATACTCTTCGTAAGAATGACATTTAAAATGTTTGAAATCATATAAGAATTAACATAAATGTTATGCAAAAATACATTATAATAAAACACTCAATCTAATGAACATTTTAGTAAATTTCTAATGACTGAAATTTAATTCTTTTTCATTAACTTTTGTCATTTGCCTTTAATTTCAATTGGATTGAATCGGTACTGATATCAATTCATTTATCCTTATGTTTTTAACATGACTTTGATTTTTCAAGATTGTTACTCACCGTAGTTAAACACATACTCAAGATATATTCCTCCATATTAATTTTGAACATTGTAAGAAAGGGGGGGAAACGTAGGATTTACATACATACGTTTCCTGAGGTACTGTGACTGCGATATTTATTGTATTTGGGCCGGCAAAACCAGAATTCTAGTTTCTGTGGATGCATTTCTATTTGCTGGAATCGGCTGCAAGAAAATATTAAATTAGCACTTTCGCAAATATAACTCTAGGTACAGTATAAAGATTGACATTCTCATTTGTATTTCTGAAATTAAGGTAACTTAGTAGCTCATCATACATATTTTGTCGGATTTTAAAACAAGTAATGTTTAACAAAGGAATTGTGTCATACATAATCTATCCTTACCAAACACTCGCAGACAACTATAGCCTTAAACTGCTGTCTTTTAGGGATCTAACTGTGTTGGTTTTTTGCAATTCCTATATTTGAATATATGTTTGCAAAGTGTATTGTACTTAAATTGATATAGATTTATATAATTAATACTTGAAACCATCGATGCTCTTTGAAACTCCACAATTATAGAATTGAGGAAAACAAAGACAGTTGTAGCAGTAAAGACGAAGTCATGGTCGTAATATATGAAATATTTATGAAAGTTACAACTGTTTTTGAATGCTTCAATTCTGTTATAGATTTTTCGATAAAAAGAATTATTAATGTGAAAATTAGGGTAAAGTGCAAAAGTAAAGTTTGCTTAAAAACCCACATGTAAACTGCTTGCCCTTTCAGCTGTGGGGCTGTTATAATGTGATGACTAATCTCACTGTTTATTGATAAAGAGTAGTCCAAGAGTTGGCATTGGTGGTGTTGACTAGCTGCCTTCTCTCTAGTCTATCACTTTAAAATTAGAGACGGCTAGCGAAGATAGCCCTTGAGTAGCTTTGCACGAAATTCACAACAAACAATCGTTATACCATAAGAATTAAAAACTTTACAAATAAACTCAACATATCTTGTCAATACCAGTTTGCTCTTACCAGTTATCTTAAACCATAGTTGTTTAAACTAAACTCTTTCATTAACATAATTTAACGTTTTAACTTATGTGGTTTAACATCGCCTGAATTTTCTTGTTTCATACTAATTGTAGGATGAAGTAGCTTTCTACAAAAATAGAACTATGTTACTGTAGTAGCTTAGTTCTTTTATTGGCGTATTTTTATGTTATTTGGTGAAAATAATCCAACATACAGTCCATACAACGATAATCAATTACTTTATTTCCTCCTGTATTTTTCTGCAAACTTGAACACTTGTAATGCCATAAAGTTGCTGTAGACCTATAGTACAAATGATGTTAACTTAGTGAAACCAACCAACTTACTTGGACAAAGTAACCGCGATAACTAATACATTGACTGATTTACTCTCTATCTTTAAAATCACATTTCCTTTAGCTAAATATAAATTACAAGATCAAAAATGTACCTTATAAGACGGCCACTGTCTGGATTGTGACGTCCCTTGAAAAATCTTAATACAAAAAAATAAATAAATAAACACAACACTAAATTGTGTCTCCACAAAGTCTTTTTTGATGGCTTTTATTTCTAAGGTGAATGGTATATGGATGGGATGGCATCTTGTCCCTCGTTTTCACTAGTCATCCTGTGAATGGGAAACTTCTTCATGGGTAAATGGTTGGGTGAATTCATTGGTGTCTCCAACGTTAACGAAGCACAGGAACTCCAAGTCCCTCCACATTTTGAAGTTCCACAAGATAAGTTCTTCTCAGGAGTTACCCAATTGGATGTACTTCCCTAGACGACCACGATGGACGAATTTTCGTTTGGATCACTATCCTCCTGGATTCTGTAAACTACATCGTTGATTCTTTTCAGTACAAAACATGATCCTTCCCAACGCCAGGATAACTTTGGAGTTCATCCTTTCTTGCATCAGGTATTCTACAGCCACATCATGCAATCTCAAATGGATCCAGTTTTATTAGTAATAACATCATAGCGAATTTTCTTTTTATCATTAGCTGATTTAAGTCTTTCTTGGGTAAAATCATGTATGTTATATATGGTGTTCCTTAATCTCTCTAAATTTCCTGTGTAAGACTCTTTTGAGCGACTTTGCTCCAGACGAAAGTATAGAAGGTCCAATGGGACTTTTATATGTCTCCCGAACATCAGTGATTACGGTGTGTTGCTGGTAGCTTCATGTATTGTTGTAAAATAAATGATTAGTTATATTAAAATATCTTTATCTCGCGTTTTCTGATGTTCATCCGAATACATGGCTATTTGATTTAACAGAAGATGGATGAAGGGCTGTTGTCCTGGTACTTTTTAATTTCAAGAACTTAACACATTTCTATAAACAACCCTTCGCTCTGTGAGCATAGACGGAGGCCATAGGATTAAAGTTTTGTCCCTGCTCCAAGTGCAATTCAATAGGCACACCAAATCAAGAGTTTCTGTTCCCTGGTAAGGAAAATTATTTGTTTCCGGCCATTGCTGAAATAGTCCACCACAATCCTAATATATGAATTCCCATTTTTACTGCCTGGAAGATGACAAAACACATCAACTGCAACTCTCTTCATTACTGTCCAAGACTATACTGTTGTAGCTGCCCATGCTGTATCTTCCATGGACCTTTCCACTCACAGAATAGTTCATATATGTAACACAAATTCACCACAGAATCCCGACACTAAATCTGGTAAAAACATTATCTTGCTCACTCTAGTACCTTCTTAATACCTAAGTATCCGGCTGTTGAAAGGTTGTAAATATTATGACATGTTTGAAAATGTAGAGACTGGAGAATTACTAACTTCAGCCATTGTTTCTAACCATTTGTATCTTCCAATTTCCGATATAAAAAGCCCTCTTGTAAACATAAGAAATCACACTGTGCCCGATACATCTTTGTTTGGGGACTGTATAGAGCGATTATTTGACATGAGGGTCTTTTTGCACCATTCTTAAGCCATTGAATAATTGGTTTCCAACTTATATTCTTTTGTCTGAACAGCTTCCATTTGGGTACTGGACCAAGTAAGTTAAGATAAAACAGAGTTATTGCGCTAATTTGCACAAGTAAGTTTCAGTAGAGCATAAACGTAGTGTTACGACGGCGGAAGTCACGTGACTTTGGTAACACGTGATGAGTTTCTGGAAGGATCGTGAAGGCCTGAGTGTTTGCCAGACGCCCTCTATTTTAGTATATAAGCCCAGCAAATTATTGTAGATATAGAGATAGATAATTGAGTCAAGCGAGTGGTAGTGACCGTAAGTAAATTACGTGAATCGTTGTGAATTATAGCGTGTGTTTAAGTTAAAGTGACTGTGGAAATTAAGTGTGCTGCAAAGTTGTATTGAGAAAGAATAAACTAGTTTTATTTAAGAAAGGACTTGTATCATTAAAGTTCTTCGGAAAGAATTTTTACGGGAATTAATAAACAAGTAGATACGCAACAGTAGGTTATAAATAGTTGCGACAGTTTAAAAGTGGTTCATGCTTGTGGAAACATCTAAAGGATGAAATAAACTGATTTTGTCACATTAAGTGGACTGAACATTGAATTATTTTCACTTAATAATTTAAAAGAATCCGTAAAGAAAGAGAACACTAGAATAATAAATTACTTTATTTCCTTTAATCCTCTCTACAAACTTGAATACTTGTACTGTCGTAAAATGGCTCTAGGCCTACATTGCAAATGACGTTAACTAGTAAAACAAATTAATTTATTTGTCCAAAGTAAGCGAGATAGCTAACACATTGACATATTCACACAATATTTTGAAAATCACACTTCACAAGATTTTTGTATATATAATCTAACCTCGAATGCCCTAGACCAATTTATCTAACATGCTTGGAGTTTTTAAATATGTTACGCCAACCCTGTTAAACTTTCTGATCTTAAAGTCATAATTAAGACACAAAGCTCCCTCTACTAACATTTAAATTTTAACATTAAAGCTTTTAACACTACTTATAACATGTACTTACTGCAACTGTGGTATTAGTAGGTCGAAGTTTTACTTCTAGATGCCTGTTACTGACTTTATTGATAAGAACAATCTAAAAAAAAAAAGAAAATTGTTTTTAAAATTAGTTTGCATTAGGTATTATGTACCCAGCACGCCAATAATATGAGCTTTTCTCGATTATCTTCACAATAAATTGTTAAATGAATATTTAGTTTTGCATACATGAATGCATACATTTAAATAGATAATATTTTACCTAAATAAAGAAACATTTTGTTTGATTGGTGCATCTCTTATTTCATGTTGATCATAATTAAATAACAATTTTAATTGTTTATAAAACTATAGCTATACTTGAAGTATCTATCTTTTACAATAAATAGGGTTAATTTTGATATTCTTCACCACTGGAACTTATCTAATAAAACTATTAATACGCTTGGTATGGTGTTATACAGAGGACTTAGTACGTTATATGAAAACAATTTTGAATATGCAAATAAGCAAGTCATGTGAAAACCACAGCTTATATAAAATCATGGTGGAGCAGTATGAATGAAAGCTACAATTTGGCATTGTTTGACATCGCGTCGATAGTGCCATGCCAGTGAAAATTAATCGCTTTTAGGAAGAGTATTTAAAAGCCCTTTCTGATGCAAAATATCCAAACACTGAGATCATAAAGTTGTGTTTGATTGCACTTTGGAATTTCGAAGATGGGTATATCCGTTATACCTAATGAATTTGTGAAACAAAGGAATATGGATCAACTTGAGGACTATCCATTAAGATACCTGTAACAAGCCATACTCTTGCAGTGGTAAAGGAAGTACATAATCTTCATGAGAAAAATCCTCAGATAGTGAATCAAGCTTCTTTTACTTATCTATAATATAACTAAAACTGCTAAATATCAGAGAGAAATACCAACGTATTACAGTAAAGAATCCGTGAAAACATAGGACGATGGAACAAAGCAGCCAATGTGGCCCAGACAATGCTATTCCACACAAAAGCGTAACTGTAAAGTCGCCAGAATCAGCGCCTATGGATTTCTGTTTGATTGGATTGTTGAAACAGCCAGTAGGAAACCTTCGTACTCGTACACTTAGATGACTTATGGAAAGGGTTAGGGAGGTAGGGTAAACTTTACTCGTGACAGCCTTACGACGAAGCGTTTTGAAATGCAAACTACGCTGCAAGGCTATATTCAAGATGCAAGGTCGTCAGGAAGGGAACGAGTGGACGTGAAGATATAAATTGTAGCGAAGCTCTAAATTTGTTTTAATATAACATATTCAACCTCTGTACTACTATGTGATGACATATCTTCCTACAATTAAATTAATTAACAAATACCGTTATTTCATAACTTACATTAATTATAGTAGAAAGTAATAAAAACGGAGAAAAAAAAACTTGCAACAGTTTCAGGATTCGGTCAGTAAAGATTTTTAGTAGACCTTTTCTCACGTCAAAACTACCTACACATTCAGTAGACTTCAAAATCACCTGAAAAACGAAACAGAATTTCTTTGAGATAAAGCAAAAAAGAAAAACGAAATATCGATTTTTATGTATGTTTCATTGAATTAATGTTTTCATAAATTTCAAATAATATATTGTTTGTTTCTTTTAGTTGGATTTCGAGAAAAGGTACTCGAAGACTATCTGTGCTAGCCGTCCCTAATTTAGCAGTGTAAGACTAGAGGGAAGGCAGCTCTTGGGCTACTCTTTTACCAACGAATAGTGGGATTGACCGTCACATTATAACGCCCCCACGGCTGAAAGGGCGAGCATGTTTGGTGGGATGCGGATTCGAACCCGCGACCCTCAGATTGTGTAATGTTTTCATAAATTTCAAATAATATATTGTTTGTTTCTTTTAGTTGGATTTCGAGAAAAGGTACTCGAAGGCTATCTGTGCTAACCGTCCATAATTTTGAACTTGGACTACTGTAATCGAATAGTTGGATTACACCGTCCTTCTTAAAACACAATCACGGCCTCATAGATCAGAGCGCGATTTCACGGAAACGGGACCCAAAACCATATACCTTCGGCTCACAATTCGGTCCACCAACCAGCAAGGGACATGCCTAGTCTATTGGAATATAAAAGTGAAGAAATAACTTAGTTCTTAATTTTTCAAACACTCCAGTAATGTTGCGTTCATAGCTTTAATAATTGTTATTTGAAACAACTAGAAGACTCAAGATGAATAACATGAAACTATATCAACAGTACGTTAATATCAAAACGTTCTGTCGCGTTGTCAGTTACTGATATTTCTTAAAATAATCAACAAAAGTCATAGACTGATTTTGATTGTTTAACAAGAGAGAATTATAGAAAGTTGTTTGACAAGTATATTTCATTTAGGAATGTAATACAACTTAAATTTATTAATTTCATAAAAAAAACAGAAACAAGAATCAACCGTCAAACCTTTGCATACTGTATTATTTTTGGATGACTAAAACGTAAAACAATCTTAAACTTACAGAATGCAAAGTCCAATAATGTTAAATTGTTGCCGTTTATCAATAGATAGAAACATAGAGATAATAAGTGAACATCATTAGATAGCACCTCCTCCACCTTACACAAACACTTTTTACAAAATCTGTACTTATAATCTTCGAGATTGAAGGGAATAGCTTTTCCGAACCTAAATTTTTAATCACCGAGTTGCTGCAGATGTATTGTTTATAATATAGTTTACCCTAAAATTGTATTCCCACTAGTAGTAAAATCCCATACATCCCAACATCACATTTACCATAGAGCACGAAAACAATAAACAGTTATCTTTTCTTAGCCTCAAAATTATTAGATCGGACACACAGTTTAGAGTAGGGTTGTTTTGTTCAATTAAGATGGATTCCTTGATTTTTCGTTTGTTTATGTTGGGTTTTTGTTTAAAATGAGTATGTTTTTAATAGATATACTATGGTTTTTTGAGTTGCAATGGTGAAAAAGATGGGACGGTTTTTTTATTGTGTTCTGTCAATCTGGTTTCCAATTTTCTTCCTGTTTCTCCTATGTAGAATTCTGGACAGTTATCGCATGTTATTTTGTAAATGACGTTGGTACTGTGTGATTCTAAATAATTTTTGTTTAGTAACGATTTTAATTTAGGTCCGGGTTTTTGTGAGAATTTGACGTTGACAGGAATATTGTGTTTAATGGCTAGTTTTGTCCAAGTGTGGAAAATTCTTGAGCTGGTTTCAGGAACAAAAGGTAAACTGCAGTGTAATGTACTGTTGTTGGGTTTGTTAATGTCAGTTTTGTTCGTGAATTGAGTTTTGTTGTGGGGAATGTTGGAGTGTTTTTCAATAACAGCTGGTGGGAATTTATTGGTGTGAATAAAGGAATGCTTTATGTGGTTAATTTTTTCATTTATGTAGTCCGTTGAACAAAGTCTTGTGGCTGTGTTTATGGGGTTTTTAAGTGTATTGATTTTTGTGTGGTGTCATGAGCGGAATTCCAGGGGATGTAGAAGCCACTGTGTGTGTGTGTTCCTGCGGTGAATTTTGGTTTTAAACCAACACCCCTGGGTGCCAAGATACCTCTTCTAAGTCTTGCAACAGTATCCGGTCATGTGATCTCTTTGTTCAATACTGTATATATATATCATTGTCAGTGTAAATTACTTGTACCTGATGATGACAAAACCTTGTCGAAACGTTGTACATTTGTTTTTATGTTAAACTTATATTAAAGTTTTTCTTCATTACCCATTCAAGCCGTCTCCAACCATTATTAGTCTCAAAGTGGGTTCCTCGTCATCGAATATGTATATAACTATATAAACAAGACGCACTTCAAATTATTTTAGGCAGGATTAAAGTAGATTAATCTATGAAACCTTTGTTTCCCTTTTTTATTAGCTATATTTTTAATTTTGTGTGCCAGAAATACCAAGCGTGGGGTGTGCTCATACCTGATTGGATTTTATTACTCATCAGGATATCTATCAGCCTACCCTCAAATTGAAATTATTTTAGGCAGGATTAGAGTAAATTATTTGAGGAGACCTTTGGCGTGGTCAAATACATCAATCGAAAGGGTTTCACCTCCGGAGTCCTAAAACTTTAATTAGATATCCTATCGGTCAAGAAATGGCGGAAGTATGAGCTAAAAGTTTGTACTTGGAAAGAAAAAAAAAGCAAACTCAGAGCCGCTCAGTCGCGGCTAAAAATGATTGAGGCATCTCCAGTTAGAATCTATATATGCATTTAGAAATTAACTGTATATCCTGTTCTATAAATATATATTATTAGGTATTCATATATTACTTTATATATGTCCATAAAAGTGAGGGATATATTATTAAATAAGTCACAAGACTAAGGAAAAGTTACTTACAACAAACTGATAAATATAAAAACAATATGCTGCGATTCCTCCCAAAACTACTATAGTTGTTAATATCATCCAAAATTGAAAGAGTGTTGGTTTTCCAAACTGCAAATAAAGAACATATAAATTTACTTCTGATGTCTAGCTTGTTAATAGTTAATTAGTTTTCAGTGGCCGAAATTAATTTTGCTATCACTTTTTATTCTGTTTTAATTAATTTGTTAATAATTTTTAAACCATTCAATTAATATATTAAAAACTTGGTAGTTATCCAGTAATCTATGTCATGTTTCTAGTAAATCAGAGAAGTTTCAGTCAATTAGTGGATCAGTCAGTTTATACTTTAATATGTACTCCTTTAACTTTTATCTTTATATGTTACATCACTTAAAAAATTGTACTGAATCAGTGTTTGGTCAAGGTGTTAGTTAATCAGTACTTTTAATCAGCCAATATTTTTAGCTATATTTACATTGTTCCGTAAGTTTGTTGTAGTCATTTCTTTACCAGTTTATCTGTGTATACAGCAAACTGTAATTAATTAACACGTCAAAACAGTTCTTAAAATTTAAAAATAAACTAGTCAAGACGTTTTGATAATCAATATATCAGTCAAATTATCTATAAATTAATAAATAGATCAAGCAACACATAAAATAAACATAAAGTTGTCATTCATTAATCAATAAATTTGTAAAGTTTTTCGTTAAAAAAATATACCATCAAACCATTTTGTGTTTTATTAATGAATACACCAGTCAATATTTGTGAACATAACAATAGCTTATTTTTTTTTTAATTATACAGTACGTCATTCAAGTTCTCCTCAAATCCATATGTTACTGAACTTTTCATGCAGCTTTTGATTCTGTTTTATAGGTGGATTGTTGGGAATTCATTTTGTATATGGTAAAACTTCATTAATTATTTAACAGCAGTAAAAGTTTCATTATTTACTTTTAATCGAGATTATGACTTCCACGTTCTCAAGAACAAACATTTGACAGACTAGTACATGTTAACTTAGTGAAATCATGTTTTCGTCGAATTTACAGTTAATTCTAACACTTTATCTTAGTTAAAAATTATGCTTTATGAGACATGTTTTGTAATATCTAAGTTCTGTTGTTCCTGTAATTAAGACATTTACTACTGATTAGTGCTCTAGTTGTCTTATCTTAATTCAGAGAAATTTTCACGTTTAATAAGTGCTGTATCACTAACCATGGTAATGTTTAGTATGTAGGAATGGGACGAGAAAAAAATTGCTGCCATATTCAATCTATTACTCTATGATGCTTACAAATAACTGCTAAAGTTAAGTTATATTTGAGCACCTAATTTCCATTATCGAGTGTTTCACAGCTTGTGAGACTCCCAGTATCATTGAAAAGTGTTGCTAAAGTGAGGAACTGGGAAGTAGCTGAAAAGCCAAAGTGTTCGTCTTTCTTTTTTCTTCTCACACTCTAGCCAAAAAATGTGTGAAATTTTCGCAATGGTTTTAGAGCAACAGAAAAGCGTTTTAAGAGCACTTGGGAACAGGCTATCAATAATCACGGTACTACTTAGTATGTAGGGATAGGCCGAGAAAAAAAGTTGCCACTGCATTCAGTCTATTACTTTATGATATTTACAAATAAATAACTGCTAAAGTTGAGTTATAACCTTATTCGAGCACCTAATTGCATTATAGATCGTTTCACAGCTTGTATAGCAGCAATAATCTTCTATTCTTCTACCACAATATTTTTGTGGGGAAATAATAAAAAGGAAACCTGCTACATAGCAGTGAGTTCAGTTTATAAGCATATATTATTTTCGTGTTTCATAAATAATAGTTTCATTTCTGGTAGATGGCAGTACAAATTGTTCTTATATAATCACCGTTTGTGACTTTTATTCCGCATCGTAAAAAACATATTTCGTGTGAGTTGTTAAGTGTAATGTGTTATTTATGCTATCCTTGTGATCATTAAGTTTATTTATAATAGTGCGTTATTAATGATAGCACTATATTTATTTTGCATCATAAAAATGATGTTTCGTGTGAATTTTTAAGCGTAGTGTGTTATTTATGTTATTCTTGTGATCATTAAGGTTATTCATCATGCTAATATAACTTTAAGAGTTATTTTTTTTGTATAGTTTTAAGCCTTTTATCTTTCATTTATATATTATATTCAGTTCATAATTTGTTGAGGCTAAATTATAAATATAGAACATATAGCAAGATATTGGCATATAAAACTAATGATAGATTATAATATTTATATCTACTTAACTTATGGTAACCTTAGATACTTCTCTGTAGTGTATACTTATCTTTTGTAAACGTATTCTCAATTTAAAGCTTTTCAGTATAAAACGTTCGTAGTAAGCATAATGTAAAGATGTGGTAAAACATTAATCACTTTTATTATGATAGACATTTCTCAATTTTCTAACAACCACTAAATTTCAAAACTTACTTTGTTGCCAATAAAAAGGAAAACAGCAGAAACCATCCACACGTAGTTTATCACTACAGCAACTTTTATCAGGGCAGCGGTCACTGTAACACACATTGTGTATTTTTGTATAAACCATGGGTTCTTACATCTTTAAATAAGCCTTATGTTACAAATTTTCTACCGTGGCCTTTATCAAAGCAGCGGTCTCTGTAACACACATTATGTACCTGTGCATAATAATAATGCATCGAACTCTTACATCACCACATAAACCTTATGTTTAAAACCCTTTTCTAATCAAATAAAGTAGGTTTAGCTGAAATTCTCACGTCATAAGATTATATAAAGTTTCCGATGAATAAATAAACAACCTGTTATGGGAAGCTATACTATTTTATATATTGGCAAGAGAGGTAACGTAGATAAATTTTCTGGTTAATACTTACACGGTGTAATGAAGTCAATGAACAAAAATGCTAAGTTCTGCTCAAATGATATGATATCATTGAGTATTCTGATTCCCAAACTTGAACTGACGAGTCCCTGAATCTACAAAAAATTAATGAATGCGATTTGAAATTCAATACAATTCGTTATCTCTATCGTGTTTAGGCAGGATTATGAACCTTTAAAAAACAAAGACTGCAGAGACTTGTATGAAAAATATATTTCCTTTTATGTGTTGGCGTGCAATACACTAGGTGTTATTGTACAAATTAATCGAATAAAGACAAATTGCTGAAGCAGAAAAAGTGATTTTTTTCCTTGAAAAAATGGTAAAGTATTTGCGAGAAAAAGTACCTAAAATTTATTTAATTTTATTCATACCAGCAGTATCTCTCTACTTTTTCTATCTCCAGTTAAATTAATTTTGAGATAAGTACTTTAAGGATTTTAAAAATTTATGTCTTGGCTGAAACATACATTTTGCGATGTTTTGATACTGTTCTGTTATCAGGATGCGTAATCTATTTGATAATTAGATGCAGTTCTCATAGTTGGTTAAAAACATTTCCCTTTCAAGGAATTTTATTCCAGAATCATATTTTTTTCAACAGCTGTTCATTTATTTCGGTATAGACCCTTTTATCCAACAAAAAATTTTATTTTCTTTGTCTAATCAAATTATAACAATATTGATATTGTTACGT